CTTTCCTCTTGAAAAGGTCCAGAGCTGTTCCCCGCCTTCAGTCCTCACCCTTCAAATCTCATAAGACACCTTTCACTTCAAGATGGCTTTGCCATGGGTACCTGCCCACCTCCTCCTCCTGCTGTGTTGGCCAGGCTGGCCAGTGTCTTCAGCCTCTGGCCTGCCCCAGCCTTCTTGCTGTGGGGTGCCCGTGCTCACTCCTCCTGCTTCTATGAGGCCATTTCCCTGCGGACCACCCAGCAAATGTCTCTATGTGTTTTAAGCCACAGCTCCCATCCCTGCTTCCTGGGTGAGGCCTGTGCCCGTTCTCCAAGCAGAAACGCCCCCTCCTCTGCTCGCTTGCCTGACTGCATGACTGTGCTGTCAAAAGTCTGTTGTCCCTGCCGCCTTTCAGGCTTTGCCTCCTCCCTTTCCATGTCACAGGGGACAGGATATCCTGAGTGCTTAATTACCCTACCCAGAATAATGGTAGAAGCTGTACAGGTAGCCTAGGAGGTAGCTGTGACCACCACGGACTGGGAAGCCAAGAAGAGCCCCACAACCCTGCATCTCTCTCTGCAAACATGGGGGCCACCTGCCAGGACCGGCCCACACTGCCCAGTCCTGTGCCCCAATTCCTTCTTCCCTCCTCCTCCACAGGCAATGGAGACAAATGCAAGTCAGGAAAGCATAGTACAGTCAAAAGCCCCCAGAAAGGCAAGCTCCACCCTGCGCTAAGAGGCAGCCTCAAGTGCCCCACAGCTCACACAGCCTAGGCCTTGGGACGGGGCTTTTTCTTCAGGTCCCTGTTAGGGTGAGGGTGACCCTGTGTGGTTTGGATGTGAAATGTTCCCTAAAGGCTGAAGGGTTGAAGTCTTTGTGTCACTGAGAAGTGACAGGACTCTGACCTCACCAATGGATTAATCCGTTGCTGGAGCCATAATTTGGTGTCATTTAGGAGGTGTGGTCTTTCTCAAAGTGGTTCACTGGGAGAATATTGCTGAAGGACATTGTGTTCTGTGTCCTGGACATTAGGGAGTAAGTAGTTTACTCTGTCCCCACACGCTAAACAATGGATTCAGTCACCCATAGGGTAAAACAATTGAAACTAAAGCCAAAATGATCCTCCTCTTGTCTCGGTCAAGCATTTGTCACAGTGACAAAGCATCTCCCACACTGCACCGGGGCTCTTCTCAAACAATAGAGTCTTGAGACTCCACCCCAAGGGGGGACAAAGAGACACATGGCGGCCAGCACAAGACCTTTTGAGGAGCCTCCACCACAGCCTCCTAGCAGATGGGCGGTATGAGAAAGTATGGTGCAAACTATGTGCTCTTTAGTGCAAAATCCAGGATGCTCCTTTTTCTAACAAATGTGCTTGGAGCTATCAGCAGATGGTCCATGAGCACACTCCAGGCACCGAAGAGCTAATTTCATTCCAACACTGAAGTTCCCGACCAGGAAGGGGCTGGGCCCTCCTCCTGGTGACGCCGAGTGCAGAGGACCAAGTGTGAAGGACCACCCAGCCTCTGTAGATGCTGTCTCCTCTCCCTCCCTGAGCACCCAGGTCCCCTCTGCAGCTCACTCTGATTCTGAAACCAAGTGTCAAGTTTTCATTTTCTGTCAATCTTTGCATGACATTTGCTGTCATTGTTCTGTTTCACTCCCCATCAAGAAACGGTCTCAGTCAATCCCTACTACAAATCGCTGGTGACCCAGATGGGACCTTCCCTGGCTGGGAGATGTTCTTGACACCTGCCCACTGCTCATCCTGTTGGAGAATCATGGAGACCAGACTCAGCTTGGCTCAGGCATTCCTGGGAGGCAAGAAGTGGTGTCGTGCCCTTGATATAGACTTCGGGGGTGGATTTTACTTGTCACACAGAGTCTGGTGCTACCAGGGCACATTGCGGGGAGGCTACAGGACCCTGCTGCCGAAGCCAGGCAATGCTGCCTGGTTTGGCCAAATGAAGGTGGCGGGAACCTGGTCAGCAAGAATGTGTGTATTTAGGAACTGGTCTGGTTCGAACCTATTTCTCTGTCTGTTGGGGGTGCCTGACCTAGAGGCATCCTGTATCTATTCCCTGCAAGCCTTGCTCTCCCAGCTCATGAGTCTGCTTCCTTTTCCTGTATGATCTGTAGGAGCATCTGACTGGGCAGATTGAAAGCTACCTATTATCTTTTACTTCAGTTTTAAAATGGGGGGCAGGGAATGACAACGTGATCCAGGAATAAGAAGTCACAGTGTTGGGGCATAGGGGTTAAAAAAAAGGTCCCCTTGGTTTTGTCTGCTTTGCTGCATTAACCATGGCAATACAACCCATACAACCTTGGGACCTGTGACAGGGAATGGTGAACCTCCCTCGCAGCCAGCCCCAGCCAAAGATCTAACTAGGAAGTTGGGCTCAGATGGCTCTGTTGGCTCCTGGTCTCTGGGGAAACATGTTTTCCATCTCTATAGTAGTCTTGTGGGCTCAGTGGTTGGCACTGGGTGCATTAATAGCCTCAAAAGTCCTAGGTTGTCATTACATTCTAAAGGTTAAGACAGCAATGGGCTCACATGGGATCCAGTTTGAGAAGGCACAAAAAGAAATGAAAAGCTGGGCCTAGGCCCTGCTCCAAAGGATATGACAGACTTTGAAGATCCCCCTGGAAAGCCTCACCCTCCCCGGGGAGCAGAAAGGGGATGGGACAAGGGGCTTGTAGGAGGCAGGGAAGGAGGGGAGGGAGAACTGGGATTGACATGTAAAATAAGCTTGTTTCTAATTTAAATATTATAAAAAATGAAAAGCTAAGGCAAGAGAGATTAATGGGAGCATATATAGAGAGCATGTAGATAGAATAGTTCTGGTTGCTCAAAAAACTTAAAATTAAAAAAAAATGCATGTCCAGGGGCCCTGACCTCCAATGCAGCCTCCACAAGATTGAGCCTAGGTGAGTCTCCATGTTCTTAGGGGACCCTTGGAACAGTGTGGGGACCCTCTGTGGTAGATAACTAAGGTTTGAAGTCCAAGGAAATTTGTGGGCTGTGGTCTTGTGGGAGGAGTCAATTCGGATCCCCAAGTCATATGTCTGCTCAGTGCTACCTTGGCTTTAAGGATAATACATCAATGTAAGTTTTCAGAAGCAAACAAGGAGAGACAGCCACTAATAGCCTGGTGGGACCTTCGTTTGTCCTAACAGGATGAATGTTCTAAACACAACCACTACTCAAAAGGCTGCAGTCATTGTCACTGTCACAGATAACATGAGAATCTATTTCAAACTAGTCCCCAAATCCCGGGTCCTCCTCAGCCGTGGTCAGAGTTTCTGGCTTGCCTCGTCATCGTTGGCAGAGTAGGAAGGGTAGTGTGCCAGAAAATACATCATGACATTTTTTATGCTGGCTTTGTCAGGTCAAATCCAGACTTGTACCATCAAAATATTATAGGTGGAAACTTAGAATTATGATATAGAAGACTCGACTCTCTCATATAGGTTTGAGACAGTTAAAAAAAATCTCTCCTAAATCCAACCTGGTTTCTACTTCTTCAGACCTTGCATTCTTGACAGCCTGATGCCTTTTATCGTAGATGAGAAACCAAAAAACCCAAAACTATCATTTCTTAGGGTACAGACAGACTGATGTGTTCCCTAAAGATCCCCAAACTTATCCCAGGCTACCTGTGCAGCATGTTTAATAGTGACGTTTGAGCATTTCCCTTATTTCACAGATTCAGAAGGGAGGGCTACACCCCAAAGTTCCTTAGGAATGAGAGGCCAAAATATCTCAGGGAGGGGGCAGTGAACAGGGTACAGTGACAGCTTTTGGGGGGATTTCTGGAAAGGAAGGAGGCCTCTCACTAGGCCCTGAGGCAGACACAGCAGCTGCCCCTGGGGTTTCTCATTCAGGAATTTTCTGGGGACCTGAGGCTGGTTCCAAGCCCTAGACCTGAGTTCTCAGAGGGGCCCTGAGGGACGCTCAGCCTTCCATGGTGGCAACTATTCTTAGCAGCCTCCTCTGTGTGCCAGCCTGACCCACCTTGACTGAGCAGGGCCTGATTTTTGTCCTCCCTGGAGTAGCTTTGCATCAGGGAAACTCTTTTCTGCCCATGGAGCTTCTATCTTCTGGCCTTTCTCTGCCTCAACTCATAGAGACTCATACTGTTCATCAGAATTCCCTCAAAAGTCTCCAAAGTCCAGTAGTGAACAGGCCCTGACTTCTAGAAGCCACCTCAGAAACTCAGCATCCCTCACGGAGGAAAAAAAAAACCACTGAAAATGAGCAATAGAAAAGCTGGTCATGGATAGTTACCACCTGTTTAAAACAAGGCTTTTGGGTCTGAGCCCTGTGTTGAAGTCAGTTGGATTCCAGACCAGGGGCTGTGTGTTCCTCTAGCTAACCTTTCCACTTTCAGCCCGCACAGCCATTGCCTTATCTGTCATCCTGGGATGGGGGTTACTGGTGATCTTTCAGATTCACAGGTGGCAGTTGGCTTAGCCACACCCCCTCCAACTGTCATTCTGAGGGTCATTGCAAATCTAAGAGCAAAATAGTCCAAATGCCCTGGGGCTAGCCTAGGTGAGTCCGCAGAGCTATGTCTTGAAAACATCTGGACAATGCTCATTCTTTGGCCATCAGGTCATCAATCAGACTTGGAGCTTAGTGGGGGACATCACAGGCAGAGCTGCGGATGTCACAGGGACTCTAGGGAGGATTCTAACCAGTTTCAAAGCCTGTCCAAATGACTCTGCCAAGCAGCCACATGTGGTGTTCAAGCCTCCTAGGGGACAAAGTCTCTTCCTGGTACTGTCAGATGGGCAAAAGTTTTATACGAGGAGCCCTCCTTAAAGCCCTGGTGGGACTATTTCCAGAAGCCCTTCTGGCTTTTCAAATGGCGCGGAGCCTGACTGCCATGGGCTTGGACAGCGCCCTGTCTCTGTTCATGGTGACCCCAGTTGCCAGTGCTCCTCAACTGCCCTCTGTGTCGGTTAGGACGGAATCCTCAGGGGTGGGGTTCCCTCCTCACCTCCAGGCAGTGGCTGTTGGGAACTTGTCACTCAAGTCCCCTGGGGCTTCTGGTTGGATTTCTCAGGACACAATCCCCACTGAGCCTGGGGGATAGTAACCCAAGGACAGGTCTGTCGTTGGGGAGGCATTTCTTCTCAATTCAGCCCCACAGTTGACCCAGCTGAGGATTAGTCCAGTTTTGTCATCTCGGAGTACCTTCCAAGTCTGTCCCCTGCTCATGGGAACCGAATCCCACAGTGGGGACTTGGGACTTCCTTGAGAAAGACTTTCTGCCCCTTCATCCCTGCTGTTGTCAAGTTTTGCACACCTTGACTATTTTACATTCTCCTGCTGTCTCTCCCCAGCTCAGAGTCCTCTCTGGATAGTCAGGTGACATCAAAGAATCAATGAACTTCTTAGGAATTGGGGAGGGGGCTCAAAGCCTCCCTCCCTCCAGGAAGCTGTTGGGAGTCCCAAGACAGCTCCTCTACTCTTGGCTAAATTAACCTCATTTCAGTCTTCGTTGAACTTTGGCACAAGCAGAGCCTAAAGTCTATAGCAAGTTTACCCATGGCTAGGTGCAAGTAGCCCCCAGTCACACAGTGTACCCTTCTTCTCCTCAGGCTGCCCATGGCCATCAGGCTCAGGACTTTCAGGAGGTGACAGAGTCCTGGGCCAGCTCCTGCCTCACAGTTTCTGTCCCCAAAGTCAGAGGTATGGTTTTACAGGATGTCTTCTGTTTGCCTTCCAAAACAAACACCAAATAAGAAAACAAAACAAAACAAAAGCCACAGCTTTTTGAGTTTTAAGTAGTATTTTTTTCTTTTGTTTTCCTGATAGTAGTAAAAGATGCTTCTTTGCAATGCCCCCCACCCAGAAAATTTGAAAGAGGATTCAGAAAAGAAAACAATGTCTGGGAAGGTGGGTCTTTAGAACTCTGGGACTTTGCCATGGAGCCAAGGCAATACCCACGTGGTCAGGCAGCATGGAGCGCAGACTTCCTGCGGGCAGTTCTTTTTACCCACGTGGCTACTTAAGGCTCAGGAAGAATCCTTAAATAGTGGGTTTTCACCCATGGATTAAATTCCTGGAAGTGGGATTCAGGGACAAGCAGGCCATGTCCCCGGATAAGGGGATCTTTGACAGCAAATGACGTGTATAGGTGTAGGTGGGCAGCGGGGTTCTCAGTGGCTCCTCTGTGTGACTTGCCAAGCTATGTGCACACGTGGGTAACAGTCTTGTCCATGCGTTCTGTTGATTAGCTTGGAGGTCACCTCTGCCTTTCAGCACGTGGAGTGTCATTCTTCCTCTACCAAAGTTGGTGCGTACCAACACAGCCGCAGAGTACACAGGCCGGCCGCTGACCTCCCGATGGTCCCCAGGAGTCTGGCAATATCAACTACAGTATAAGGACACAGCTGGAGGAGAGCTCAGGTGGGAGAGGCCACAGCAGAGGGATGAACAGGTGACGAAATGAAGGAATGAGGGGCAGGTAACCAAGAACAGTCTAGGCGATAAGACGATTTATACCCAGCTGGTGATGGGTCCTTTGCACCTCCCTTCAAAGAACTAAAGAGGATGGTGGCTTCATGGAGACAGGGCTGTGGCTGACCACAAGAGCCTTGCCAAGCAACTGTAGCTGAGTGAGCCAAGCGGCATGGGCTGTGTAGGCACTTCAAGGCCTATGAGGCTGGGGACTTGGAGGTGTCCTGAGAATAAGGGGACAAGAAGAGTGGGACCTGGAAGGATCTCAAAAGCTGATAGCCAGGTTCCTTGGGCAGCCCATCTGGGTGCAAGCTGGCTGGATTAGGTCAGAGAGGAAGACCATGGCTGCATGGGGGAGGCCAGCAGGCAAGGGATAGGAGGGGAAGTGTGGGTGGAACAGAGATCAGTGTCCCCTCTATTCTATGCAAGCCCCTTTTACAGACCTTATCTGCCATCCCTAGCCACACTGACTCCCTTTGGATTCAGTGACCCCTCATCTTGGGTTGCTGTTTGAACCTTCCTTTGCTGTCCTTGCCTGGGCTAATCTCTTCCATGCAAACTTTCTGATTGTGTTTCCCTTCACTTCTACCCCAGGCTTGGGGACAGTCACTTGAGAATGACTTTTGTGGCTTCCATGAAAAGATTGTAACGGTCCCAATTTGCAAAGAAGAGGTTCAACTTTTCTGGAGCCTTTTCCAGGTCTGTGGAGACCTCACTTTAGCTTGGTGAGTGGGGCTGCTAAGAGCACTAGTCAGTGGAAAGAATTCAGGACAGGACAGCCAGAAGGAACTAAGGCCATCTGGGACTTCCAGGCAATGGCATGGCCATTGAGACTTGGAAACCCAGAGTCAGCTCTAGCTGGGGTGGGCAAAAACAGATGGGAGGGGCCCTAGCCAGGGTCATGGGTAACGCCAGGCACTGGACTACCAGGTTGGACCTTGGGGACCCAGAGGGCAATAGGCTTCTAGAAGTGATACAATGTTGAGGTCACCAACACTACCTGGGCCTGGCTCAGTCCCCAGCACTGGGCAGGACGGGGCACAAAATAGGCAAATGGGCCAGAGTCCCAATAGAGGTTCTCCCCTCGGCTAGTAGGCAGCCCCTCCCACTCCTCTCCATTCGTGGCCTTGCTTGCCCAGCCACTCACTCATTCTCATTTCATCCCTCACCTAGAGTCACACATTGCTTGTCCCACAGTGTCTGTTCCTCCCTGGGACAGCGAGTGCCCATAGTGTCAGGCCTGTTGGGCAAAGTCTGAAGGCAAATAGAGCTTTCTTTTCAAGATAGGCAGGTGCCCAGAGGACCCCAGGACCATAGAGTTAGTGGGAGAGGCCACATGGAGGCTAAAGGTTTGCAAGGGGCTGCAGATAGGAGGGTCGGGAGGAGCACAGTGTCCAGAGCAAGGAGCCTCTGGGTGTGAGGAAGCAGGCGAACACTTGACAGAAGCAAAGGAGGAAAGTTAATTTTGACTCACAGTTTTGGGGGTCCCAGTCGTCCATGGAGAGCATGGCAAAGAGTTCAGGTCATGGCAGGCGAGGACACTGTAGAAGCTGACACACCAATCACTTTCTCCTTTCTCGCTTTCACTCCAGCCTACGGAATGGTGCCATCCAACATTTGGGCCAGGTCTTCTCTCAACTGATCCCTTCTGGAAGCGTCCTTACAGATATACCCAGACGTGTGCATGGCTCCTCTTCTAGGTACTTCTAAATCCACTTGAGTTGATAGTGAGAGTTGGGAGGGAGCCTGAGGTGAAAGTTTCACATTAGAGTTGCAAGACAAGGGAAAGCGAGGGAGGGCGGATCTCGGGACACTTGTGAGGGTCCCATACTGGGCAGGGGTGTGGATGGACAGCAGTGAGATGTGCTAATTGAGAAACTGGCTAGCCTGCTGGCTAAGGGGTACCCCCACCTTGACAAGACTGGGCAGATGCAACATTTGCTCAGGATTCTGAGAAGATATTCCAAATATGGGGTGAATCTGTAGGCAACGTCTGAGACCAGGTACACGGAACTGTGGGCTTCCAGGTGGCCTTGGTGACACATACGGTCCCCAGTTCCCTGTACCATTTTAACAGGTCCAAGGAGAACCTCTGAAGCCTATGTGTGGGTAGGGTGGTTCATCCATGGAGAAGAAAGGGCTGAAGCCAAGTCCAGGAGACACCAGAAGAAAGGATTTCCAGGGTAAAGGTGGCACAGTGGCCTCAGAGTCACCGCCACACCACATGTTAAGTAGCTGTCTTAGTCACTGTTCTATTGGTGTGAAGAGACACCACCACCAAGACGAAGCGTTTTATTGGTGCCTAGCTTACCATCACCACAGGAAGATGCATGGTGGCGAGCATGGTGCCACCAGGCGGGCTCTGGGGCAGTTACTGAAGCTTCATCCTGATCTACAGGCAGAAAGGGAAAGAGGGAGACACTGGGTGTGGTGTGAGCTTTTGAAAACTTAAAGCCCACCCTCCAGTGACATTTCCTCCAACAAAACTACAGCTACTCCAACAAGGCCACACCTCCTAACCCTTCTCAAATAGTGCCCCTCCCTGACTAAGCACTCAAATATATGAACCTGTGAGTCCATTCTTGTTCAAACCACCACAGCTGAGCAGGAAAGGCTGGGCCAAGGCCTTCTGGATGTCACACTGCCTACAGGACCAACTGTGGTGTCTTTGGAGTGAATAAGGGGGGCAGGGAGGCGGTTATTAAGAGAGGGGATGAGAAGGCTTGGGGTGGCTGAGAGTCCCTGTGTCCTTGCTCTGTCTCCAGGTAGGTAAGAAACATAGATATCCTGTCCTTGCCAGGTGCTGTCCTCTAAAGAATCACTGGACCCATTTTGGCTATGCTTGGTGATGGGTCCCCGAAAAGATCCACCTCATCAGCCCATGGGAAAGCCAAACATTCATTGCCCAGGCAGGAGCAAGAGCTGGAACTTAGTAAGTGGGGTGCACATCAAATGGGTGAGCACACTGTTAAGAGGTGTTACGGCCCCTTAGGTTGAGCAGGGGGACACTCAGACTCTTAACTTCCTGAAGTAGGGCACTGGGCAGACAGGACCTTAGGCAGAGCCCACTCATCCCCATATCTTTGTCTGCAGGAAGGACAGTTGAAATGGTACAACCACCCAAGATGTCAGGTGGGGCAGACTAGGTGCCATTGCCACACAGCTCACCAGGGACCTCACATCTTCACTGTGTCATCCTTGAGGCTCTGGGGACATGAGAAGTGGCCTACATTATCCAAAGACTGTTAAGAAACATCTGTGTTTACTGGGGGTCAGTGCCTGGCAGGGAGATAGGTAGAAGTTTCTATTGCATGATCAAATGTGTGCAAGCGTGAATTAATGATGACTTTCAGTGGGTTGTGCAGTGTATTGGTACCAGCTCAAGACTGGGTGAGTGATGCCCTCAGACACCAATAGCAGGCTCCTTTCTGCCAGAACTGTATTGGCCCAAGGCCAAGGTTCAGGTGAGGATCGTGTACCAGGTCCTATAGGACATGGTTTGCAAAGGTTGAGTGACAAAAGCCCTGCGATGAGGCAGCCCATGCGTGTGACTCGGTTGTACTTTATCTGGCTTTGCAGCCATTTAGAACTTTGTGTATCATGGTTGTAAAAAATGTTAGACAATGTAGAAATTACATATAGCCATCATAAAGCCTCTGTGGTGTCCCTGGTGCTGAGGAAGGGACCCTTTATACAAGTGTATGCTAGCTTTTCATGGTGATGACAAAAATGCCTGGCATACGCAAAGGGGGGGAGATGCTCACTGAAAATATCTGGGGCACAGTGGGCTGATTCTGTGGCCATGAGCCTGAGCTAAGCCTAACAGCACGGTGGAAGGGCCGACAGGCAAAGCTTCTCACCAGCTGGTGACCAGGAAGCAGGGAAACAGGAGGGGGCCAAGAAGACCCCTCCAGTGTCCTACTTGTTGCCACCAGGCCTCATTTCCCAACAACAGCAGCATCTTATGACCCCATCACTGGTAGATAAGGTCATTGACTGGGTCAGCGCTCTCACGACCTTGTCATCTGTGTGGACCAGGATTTCCACACGTGGAAACCATAGCGATGTGCCTCTAGACATGTCTTCCTATTTGCACTTGGAGATTGCTACTGAGGGGTTTTTCAGAGAAAGACTCACTCCAGTCACATGTCTGTAGGACGCACTGTCCCTTTCTTATCTTTGTTCATGAGTAGATGGTAAATTGCAGCTCCTGGAGGCACCTTTCCACTCAGCAGATAGTGAGCGCGGTTCTTTAGATGTGTTTATGGCAGTGGGAGCCCTGACGGGCTGGTTAGGAAGAAGCTGCCATGTGTCACATGGCTCCTGTCACAGATGCAGCCAGCTTCTATACAGCTCTTCTCAGCACAGTAGACAGCTAGGTCCCAGGACGTCTGTGCCTGCTTGCCATAGAAGTGTCTGCTCTTTGGAGTCCTGCTCAGGCTTGTAAATGACAAACCCCATGATCTACACATGCTTACTTTCAGCTTTGTGATTTAAACAACAGCAAAAAAGTGCTGGTTGTTCTGCGACTGGGACTAGTCAGGAGCCATACCAACACGTTGCTCCAAATGGCCAGAGGGTCGTGGTCATAGTCCTGGCCTCGATGTGGTATCTGCTCCCAAGCCAACTGGCTGACCACTGACTCCACTCTGAGCTGGTTACCAGGCCTCCTTGGTGTGTCTGTGTTGGTGGAGGCAAGCCTGCATCCACAGTCTGTCCTTTTCAGTGGGCCAAGCAGGGTGACCTGACAGGGCAGGTGCTGGGTGGGCCTGGGGACTCCAGAAGAGGCCTTCTCCTCACCCAGCTCAGGAAGGTTATTGGTCCTTAGGTCTTGGGGACTGTAGGTTGGGAACAGTACTGCCCATTTGCTTCTGGGACCTCCACAGATAACTTGGATTTGGGACTCTTGGGAGAGTACGTGAATGCCCACCCACCCTGGGAGGACACGGCGGTCAGTAGGATCAAGAACATGAAGGCCACGGAGCAGGGCCTGGCGCTGGACACCATCTGCCATGTCCTAGAGGAGCACAGCCAGGTAGGATCAGAGAGACTGGTGCTCCCCACTGTGTGGGATTCATGGGGCCTGCGAGGAAGTTAAGACCCCCTCCAGAGCCTGTCCCAAGCCATCACATTGAACTCATCAACCACCCTAGACTGCCATGGGTTTGGGCCATTCCTGAAGCTCCTGACCCTCTATGGGTAGGTGCTGGAGGATTTTAGGGAGTTTGATTGGATGTCTTACTTCCTACCTTCTGGTGGGAAGGCACAGAGTCCACTCAGGGTCTCCTCCTACCAGGGAAGGCCAATGCACTCCCAGCCCCATGGCTGCTCTGAACACCTTCATGGCAGGATGTCTCACGACTGTCTACCTAGAGGTCCCCTGTCCTCTAATGCCAGCTTGAAGGCCAGAGATGACACCAGTAGTGGCTGAGGACTTGATCAGTGGGGTTATTCCTGGTTCCTGACCATCAAATTGTACTTTAGCCAGGCAATGGTGTCACACACCTTTAATCCCAGCACTCAGGAGGCAGAGGCAGGTAGATCTTTCTGAGTTTGAGGCCAGGCTGATCTACAGAGATAGTTCCAGGACATCCAGGGCTACACAGACACCTTGACTCAAAACAAAAACAACAACAACAACAAAAAATTACTTTAATATTTATGTTCAACCTCCCAAAGCTGCTGTCCACTCCTCTGGGCCAATCAAAGTGACATCCTTTGAGAGCTGCATAGGCCCGTGTGCTTACAGAGGGAGGCTACCCAAGCACTCACAGCTGGGCATGGGGACTGGGAACCCAAGGTTAAGTGGGGAGGGACAAACATTTGTTCAGAACAGGCCCAAGGCATCAGCATAGAGGCACAATAAGCAGGCAGCATGCCCCAAAGCCCACGGGACTGTCTGTGTTTGCTAGAAATGTCAGCCTCTGTCCCAAGGATCTCGGGGCACTGTAGCAGAGGTGAGCATGGCCAGATTTACTTAGGATTAAGGCTGTACTCCCTGAAGGAACTTTATCTTTTCTCACCCATCTGAGAACAAGCTGCCCTCCACCCACTCAGGGTCCTGGTAGGACTACAACTGTCCTGTTGGCTCTAGAATCTGTCTTGCCCTGGTGGTTGGGTAGGGACAGGCAGGGCCTGAGTAACAGTCTGCCCGCAGCGCTGGGAAAAGCAGAAGCTGTCATACAGGGATTCCTCTGTGCAGAAGCTCCTAGAGTTCCTCAGCCTGGACCCCAAGCAGGCTACTGATAAGGTCAGTGCCCCACAGGAAATGCTTCAGGAGGGTGACCTCCCATGCTTTGTCCCACGCAGTGGGAGGAGAGAGGGCTCTCTGTTGGGGAAGGAGATGTGTGAGCACACAGCCCTGTGTGCTCAGATGGGTGGGTTTCTGAACAGCATTAGCCTGCTCTCCACCCTGCCCTGCTCCAGGCCTTCCTCTTCCACCTGTACGGGCTGTTCCTGCGCGAGTGTCCCAGTGTGGAGCAGGTTCAGTGCCACCTGGCCAGCCTCCTGGAGCTGTCCCACCAGCACTCCAGCCAGCGAGAGGTGGGTCAGGGTCCTTCTGCCTCCCTATCAGCCCCGAGTCCTCATGCCCCGTTCGACATCACCGTGGTCATGTGTGGCACACTTTGCCAGCTTGTCACCGTCTCTGGGTGGCAGCCCTGGAAGAAGGACAGGTCCCAGAAAGCTGGACAAGGGCCTGCCCTGTCACTTGGGCTGCCTCACAGGGTCCTCTGGTACACAGGGCATTGCGCTGGCTGTGGGCCTGGCCTCCACCAAACACTTGGAGGAGGTATGGGCTCTGCTGGAGTACCTGGGCCGCACCAAGTTCCTGCGTTCAGCCAGCGTAACCCCAGACAGCCAGGTATGGTGGCCCTGAGTACAGGGCAGCATTGGACAGAGACGGTGACAGTCTCCACATGCCCGTTGATGACACTGGGGATCCTGCCTGACCCATTTCCCTTAGGGGCTGGGGTGGGAACACAGATTAGATGAAGTACCCACTCTGTGCCCATGCTTCATGGAGTCCCCTTCCCAGTACCTCAAGAGTAGGGACAATGGAGCTCAGGATTTGGGGCCAGGGACCCTCCAGGACTTTGAGACCTATGCCAGGCTCGGGTCTCAAGTTCTCACTTGCCCCAAGCCCAGTAGATACTGAGCAGCTCTACTTTCCCGGCCAGTTCTAACCCCAGGGGCTGTGCTAGAAAGAGTCTACAAGAGAACCATATTGAAGGCTTGCCTGGGGATCCAGCTAAAGGGGCTTCCTAGATAGGAGGGCTAGTGGCAGCCATAGGCCTGGCCCTGTGGAGGAGGGATATTGCTGGCCTCTACTCTCAGTAGAGAGGCTACAACTGTCTCCTTAGCAGGAGGGCGGGGGGGGGGGCTGGGAGGGCTGAGAGTGGGAGCCTGTGAGTGTAGCTCTCACCCTCCGCAGCTGTCAGACAACCTTCGATGGAAATGGGTCAGCAGCACCTCTCTACTGTGCTATGGACAAATAGCCAGGCATACCAAGGAGCAGATCCTGCCCTGGGTGGACAACATCGCCTCAAGGATGGTGTACTACTTCTCCTGTGGCCCCTGTGTGAGGCCCTCCCCACCTCTCCATAGAAGGACAGGGCAGACAGAGCCGCCTGGGTTAACTTCCCAGTCACTGAAGCAGTAGTCACAGGACAGCCCTGGGGTGTAAGGAACAAAGCCCACTGAGGTCTTCTCTCGGTGCTCCTGGGTCCAGTGCTCTGGCTGAAATAAGGCTGTGTCAGTCCAGGGTAGTGAGTTTGGCCTAGGGGTAAGGGAACCCTGTACTCAGCTTCCTTGATTGGCAGAGACGTTGTGTGTACATGTAGGTAAGCTTGCTGTGTGTGTGTCCTGTGACTCTGTGTCCTGTGTGTATGAGGTGTGTTGTGTATGCTGTGTGTGTGTGAGGTTCACACTCTGCTGGTCCCCTGAGCAAGGTGGCTGTTTGGGTTATGCAACAGGATTTGACCTTTGGCCCATGTGTGGGGGACAGGATGAGACCCTGAAGTCGAGCTTCCTGTCTGCCACCATCCTGCTCACTAGATCCCTGCGGGAGGAGTATGGCTCCCAGAGGTACAAGTTCACTCAGGTACCAGAGCTCATCCAGTGCCTCCTGGTAAGTGACACCAGGCCCACAGTGGGTGCTCCTGAGGACGTGGGTGCGGCCAGAGGCCGCTGCCTGCCACACTTGCCCCTTCTCTGCCCTCCAGGGCATCCTCCAGAAGGAGCCCAACTTCCTGACCACATTCTTCCGGCAGAAGGTCATCCTGGTCATTGTGGGCCTCAGGTAACTCTCCTAGGGCACAGGAATGGAGACAGGCAAGATTCTGCGTTAGTGGCAGTCACTGTATGAGGGAGGGGCTAGGGCCTGAGGGGGCACCAGAACACTGGATGCGCTGAGGCTCTCTCTGCGTGTTCACCCAAGAGGTTAAGTTTGCTTTTTCATGGCCAAGATCGATTGTTGGTGCTTGCAAAAACTGAGGCCTGCTCACAGTCATACACTGGACCACAGTCCTGAGGGCAGACTGGGCCCGAACCCGGTCATACATGAAGCCTAGCTTTTCTCCCTCGGGCCCTGATCTCACATGTTCTGACCTGACCTATTCATAGCTTTGACTCTGACCTGGGAAGTGTCTAGGTTTCCCCGATCGAGTGCCAATGAGTTAGAAAAGCTCACCCTATTGTGCTGACCCTCCTCATTCTGCCGAGCCAAGGAGACAATGCCTCCTTCCTGTTGTAACTGTGCTGCTGCTGTGTCCTTGCGGGAGCCTCGCCCCCCAGCCCATCATCACTTTGTTTTCTTGCAGTAACCTGCCGCCCAGACTCAAACCCCTGCTCAAGTCCCAGGTCCTGCAGACTTGCCTGAACAGTGTGTACATGCTTCCCTCTACTGAGGCCTTGAGGGGTGACTCATCTTCACTGGGACAAGCCCCGGATGTCATGGTGATGTCCTAGGCTTGGCATGTCTCCCTTTCAGGGATGTGGGTTCCTAGTGCTAGGCCAGGGGTTAGCCTTGTCTGGTAATTGCAGAAAGAGGAGCTCTGTCTGGATTTAGATCCATCTTGCCGGGAGTACAGGCTTGCTTCAACCTTAGAAGACCCAGGACCTTCGGGGTTTTTTGCGTAAACGAGACCCAGTCTCAGTACTTCTCTGGCAGCTTTCTCTGAAGTGTGCCTTCTATACCTCATACTCATTGACTTCGAGTGAGCTGACAAATGTCTTCAAAGTGCTGGGATGCATACTGGTCCTTGGCCTCCCTGCCATCTCAGGCTGTCTTGCCCCAGACCCAGATTCCTGGGGAGTTGAAACAGGGACAGGGCTGGATGTCACTCACGTGCCTCTGATCACTCTTGCTGGCCCACAGCTAGGTCATGCCGCATTCAAGACCTAAGTGTGTATGGAGGCCATGTGGCTCTGAGGGGGGCTAAGTTCTGTTCAGCAGAAACAGCAAGGCAAGAATAAAGTATCTCAAGTTTTGTTCCCTGGCCCAGGAACCGGGTTAGCAAGGCAAGAATAAAGTATCTCAAGTTTTGTTCCCTGGCCCAGGAGCCAGGCTAACCAGGGAGGACAGGTGTTCATAGGGAGCCGAGCTGTGGTCTTGTGCTAGGCTCCCAGAGCACACATGAGGCGCTGCCTTGTGGATGGTCTAGAGCCACACTAGGAGAGCCCATGGAACTGAGGAAGATGGAGAGTCCCAAGGAAGGCTTGACTCCACGTGGTCGCAAGGGAGGCAGCAGCCATTCCTGTGTGGAGTTTACTGGGGCATCTGCTGCTGCCACAATTGATTCTAGCTACAGTTTTATGCTGGCCACTGGGAGGAGTACCTTGTCATGTCTCAACTTTGGTGAAATGTCTGCTCAGCTGTCACATTTAACTTTGAAATGGACTACTATGTAGGATTTGTGTTTGTGCGTGTGTATCTGTTTATGTGTCTATCTGTGTGTGTATATCTATGTGAATCTGTGTGTGCCTATGTGTGTCTCTGTGTGAGCCTGTGTTTATGTGTGTGTGTCTGTCTGTGTCTCTTTGTATGTGTGTCTCTATGTGTCTGTGTCTATGTGTATCTGTGTTTCTGTGTCTATGTGTATCTGTGTGTATGTATGTCTCTGTGAGCCTGTTTGTATGTGTTTCTGTGTGTGTGTGCCTATGTGAGCCTATGTGAATGTGTCTATATGTGTGTGTGTGTGCAAGTCAGTGTTTGTGTGTGTGTGTGTGTCTGTCTGTCTGTGTGTAATGAGGTGCACACATGGAGATCAGAGGAGAACTTGTGGAAATTGTTTCTCTCCTTCCACCGAGTTGGTCCTAGGGATGGAATTCAGGTCTCCAGGTTTGACAGTAAGGGCCTTTACTGCCCTGAGCAATGCTGCCAGTCCTACTATGCAGGTTTTAAAGCTCCTCTTACACATTGGGCGTGAGCCTTTAGTCTGCACTTGAAAATCTTTTCTCTCTGAGTTGGGACTTTCTCTAATTCTCTGGGTTGCTACTGGCTAGAAAAATCCTACTTTTTTTCCTTTCATAGCCTGTTCTGTGGGCATGATGTCTAGGGTGTTTGCTTGACCTGGGGCCACAAAGATTGTCTGCATTTTGTAATGGAAGTTTTACATTTTGTGGATTCAGCTTTATATTTTGTGGGGGCAACTGAAAGGAAACACCATAGCTGGGAAGAGCAGAACGCTGCTCCCCATAGCTCCGGAGGCTGCAAGGACAAGGTTTGAATGTCAGGCGTCCCCCACAAACCCATGTGTCTGAACACTGAATCTCCTGCTTGGTGGCATTGTTTGGTGGGCCTAGATGGAGACAGTGGGTCACTGTGGTGAGCCTGTCCCTGCCTTCAGCCTGAGCATCCTCTTTTCTCTGAGCCATGTGAGGAGGTGTGCAGCAAGCTCCTGCCACCACAGCCCCAGCAGCTAGGGTCACCTCCTGCCACCACGCCTTGCCACCACTACACACTGTTTGGGCTGAGATGTAGGCCCAAACAAAACTTGAAGTTGCTTATGTTGGGTATTTGGGTACTCTAACAGTAGCAGAGAGGCCTGGGAGAGACACAGCCCTATGCTGCTGCCTTCAGAGACCGAGGAATTCCTTGCAGGGACACCTACTCAGTGAAAGCCAAGACTTTGTGCAGAAAAGAATTTCAGGTGCAGTTTGAAAGCAGAGTTGGATTTTTTAGGAAGAGAGTTTAGCATAGACTTAACATGGGCTTGATAGACATAGAGGCATCTAAAGAAAGGATAGGACACACCCAAGTGTGAAGAAGTCAGGTGTGAGTGTCCTAGCTATGGGCACACAAATGACACCAGTGGCTCTGAAGCTCCTTCTCAAAGGGTGAATGAGGTAGATTCTGAGGTGCTTCTGGAGTGGGTAGGGACTGCAGCCTGATAGGGCGAGATCATAGGTTCCCAGGGGGCCAAGCGTATCTTTCACTGAAACGGAGTCTCCTATCTTGCTTCTGAGATTCCTAGAAAAGTTTACATTCGGGAAAGGAGTAAGGCCATCATTGCTATTTTAGCATCCTTATTTGAAACGTCTCCATGCATGAGCATCGCCTCCTTGTGAGCTTTCCCCGTGGATGGCAGTAGCTGTGCTGGGATTCTTGATTCCTTTCAGTGACGTGCTTGGGCCTTCCGGATGTGTTTGTGTTTATATTTTATGGTTTTATTTCCATTTTAGAACCATCCTTCACTTTGAGACAAGATTATCATCTAAAGATTATTTTCATCTAGGACCATTTCCTTTGTTCTTTAATCTTTATCAAAAATATGAAAAAAAACAATCGGTGATGGCTCATGCCTTTAATTCCAGCACTCAAGAGGCAGAGGCAGACAGATCTCTGAGTTTGAGGCCAGCCTGGTCTGCAGAATGAGTTCTAGGACAGTCAGGGCTACATAGTGAGACCCTGTCTCAAAAGAGCAATGAACAAAAAAATGTTTCATTTGTATCTGCTACTTTTTCAATGACTAAAACATTAGCCAAAAGTCCCTCTTGGGAAAGCAGCAGGCATCATCAGTGGCTGCAGGAGAGGCGTGAGCAGAGCTGGCGGGGACATGCCTGAGCAACTAAAGGGACCAGAGTTCCTCTGGGAAAGTCTAGTGGCAGGTGTCACTCCCCCAGCCACCACCAATGGCATGGTTAGCCTCACCTGCCAGAGTTGGGCCCAGGGAAGCAAACACCTCTGTGCCCTCATGTAGGAGCTGGGGAAACCATGAGGTGACCTGGTGACCTGGCTGTGTGATGTCAACTGGCCCTGTTCCTTGCCAGGTGCTATACAAGAAGACAATTCGTGCCCTGGACCTGCTCCTCCAGAACTTCATCTCTGAGAACCCAAGCATGGACGAAGTCTGCTTTCTCCTGCAGGTGAGGCCTGTGAACCGGCAGAGAAGGGATTCCAGTCCAGCCCACCTCCAGCCTGAACTACCAGAGCGAGGCTGAGGGTGAGGGTGTGTGTGTGTGAGAGAGGGAGAGAGACAGAGACAGAGACAGAGACAGAGACAGAGACAGAGACAGAGAGCATGCCTGCCTGCCTGCCTGCCTGTCTGCCTGTCTACCTGCCGGTCTGCCTGCCTGCCTGCCTGCCTGCATGATACTAGGTAAGGACTGACCTTATTCACAGACCTTCAACACTCTAGACAAGTGCTCTAGTGCTAAGCCATACCCCAAGGCTTTGTGAGAAGTGAGGGGAGATTGGATGAAACGGGCACATGTGTTTCCTGTCTCTATGATATGGTTCCTCTTAACACCCTAGGACTGTCACCAAGAAGGCCAGTCACCACTCAAAGACCTCCAGAGCCACTCACCACTATAGCCTCTTCTTTAAATAGTCTGCTTTGGGTACTTTATCATAGTAATGAAAGGTGGACAGACAGAATTTGTAGTGGGTTGGACTGAAACATGAGACACAGTTGGGGCCTGGAACTGGTTCCAGAATCAGGAAACTCAAGAACCCTTAACCTATGTGTAACATTTAGTCTTCCTGCCTGTCACTTGGGCCCCGTTGCTGATTTGGCCCCCCAAATAACACACAAAACACTGTATTAATTATGAAGCTGTTGGCCGTTTGCTATGCTTTCTAATCGGCTAGTTCTGACTTAATTATTTACCCATAATTACTAACATATATATATATATATATATATATATATATATATATATATATATGGACTTACCTTTCCAAGGACGCAGCCTCATGCATCCTCTTCCCGTGATCACATGGTGACGATCCTCTTTACTACATTTCTCAGAATCCTCCTAGACAACTAGTCCTATCTATCTTGCTTCCCTATTGGCCAACAGTGCTTTATTTATACCAATCAAACATATACATAGAAGGTCTTCCCCCATAACCTATGGGATATGATGCAACTTCGAGGTAGACAGAATTGGAGTTTAGCTGAGTTGAAGGATACCCACTGGTGTCTACCATAGGATTGTCTGGCTGGTATTAGAAGAATTGTACTGGCTGTAAGAATAAGGTCTCTTGGGTTGTCCCTATGTCTCAGATGGCCCAAACCTGTAAGGCACCCCAGAGCTGAAGGAGGGGGTTGATGGGCAGGTGAGGAGGCCGATGGTATGTCTGGGAAGCTGTGGTCCTTCTCAGTGACCAGACTCTGGGCTGATCTTGAGCTGGCTGTGATGGCGTCTGTGGGCACAGCTTCTCATGCTCTCCTCTACTCCTCCCAGCACACAGAGAGCTGGTTGCGATCTGACAAGAGCCATGAGCGCCGCCGGGCAGTGCAGTCCATCTTCCTGCTGCTGCAGTATGTGGTGGAATCTTTGAAGCTTGCTGTGAGTTCCCTATACCCTAGAGCCTTGGGGCTACCTGACGGGGGTAAGGGAGGTTAGCATCCAGGAGCGTGGTGGAGTCTTGCTGTGGTCTGGGGACTGTGGCTACAACTTAGGAAGGACAACCCAAGGAATACCTAAGCTAAGGCCACAACCAGCAGAGGGCAGAGACTGAAGGGGTGTGGGAGAGAAGAATCAGCCAACTGTATGCTGTCTTCCAACCCTCGACAACTTAGAGCTACGTGCAAGGCCACTTGCTCACTGGCCGGTCGTTGTGGCATTCCCGGCCTGAGAGAAACTACGTAACTTGTGTTATGAGGATGGGTCAGGCCCTGAAAAATAACCCATAATTGTCCAGAGTCTGACTGAGAGAGAGTCAGAGGGGGAGGCAGAGAGGGGCAGAAGAGAGGCCAGAGAGAGGGTGGTGAGGCCGAGAGTGAAGGAGCTGCCATGCGATGAAGGGCGGCAGGCAGGAGAAGACTGCTGTGGGAGAGACAAGTGTGAGGGCTGAAGCAGCCCGAGAGAAGGAACGAACGCCAAAACGTACATCTGCGTGAGAGAGGGCGGCTGTCACATCGAGGCTAAAGTGCTGTATGCTGAGAAGATATGGATAATGAGATGTATAGCTATGGCTCTGTGGAGATTTGTAACTAAGTGAATATAGAAATACGTAACTGATCAGGAGAGAGATGTTTGCATGTAGAGAGAGACTGTCTGGAAAGAGTCCATTTAAGTTGAAGTAAAAGAGAAGGTCACCATCAGGAAAGTGTGTGCTTGCTTATTTTCTCCTCAGATAGAAAAGTCTAGTAGCTCTCAGATAAGAATTTTTCCCTCTATCCTGAGGTTTTCTCTTTATTACTCTGGAGTGGATCTGGGGAGGCTAGATCCCCCAAGTCAGAGACATAACTGGTCATAAAGAAAATGTAAATAAAACCATGATGAGGTACCACCACCCACCCACTGGAAGGGTAAGATTAACAGCAAGAGTTGGCCAAGGTGTGGAGTCCTGGGAATGTTTCACATAGCTGGTGGGAGTGTAGGATGTTCAAACTGCCTGTCAGAACTTCTGGCAGTTTCTCTGAAGTTAAACACATACTTATCCCTAACCACACAGGATGATCCTAGGTATTTACCCAGTAGGATCACACACACACACACACACACACACACACACACACACACACACACACACACACACACACACACACGATTTATGTAAGAATATGGTTTTGTTCATACGGGAGCCAATCTGGGAGCCCTGCAGATGTCCAGCAATAAGAGCAGCCGGCAACGTGTGGCAACATCAATGCAGTCATTCACACACTAACCACGGGAGTGGACCGCAAGGACACAGCAGAGAAGAGGACCAGTGAGAAGAGTGTCTGCCTTGGCAGGACCGCCGTGAGGTCCCAGGAAACACAATGGGGAGTGTTCTCACAGGCACGGGGCAATGCAAGGGTGTTGCGCGGTGTGTTGGAGTATGGGAATTAGTAGAGGTGTTGGGAGGTGAGTCCTGCCAGAGGAAATTACGGTTTTATCTTGAAACTGGACTCTGTCAGGAATCGGTTAACCCTTGAGAGACTAGATGTCTCCTTTGGCATCCACGCACTTTCTGACACGCACTCCTGCCCAGTGTCATCCAACACAGAGCGAAGCAGTGAGAAGCCCTCGCCAGAAGCCACTACCTGAAGCTGAACTTCCTAGCGTCCAGAACTGTGAGTTAAACAAACTTGATTAACAATCACTCAGGCACAGCAGCAGAAAGAAGAGGCAGACACACAGTCTATTGAGATTTTCAAAACAATGAATTTTGCACTTAATATTTGTAACGTCTCTGTAACTGAAATCTTAAATAAAAATTACCATAAAACTAGTAACAATTCTGTGGTTTGGTTTGAAATTTTATTCTGTGCAGTATTCTAAATATTCTGAAATTTTTTTCAGAAACAGATGACAGCAAGGTATGGAGGGTCTGCAAGTAGAGTCTCCTGCAAATGGACCAGGACATCCGTCCGAAAGAGACAGAGTGTGTCTCTGGACTAGGGCTGGTGAACACTTGGTTCTCTTAACACACATGGATGTAGATATGTATCTGTTTCAGCAGTCATCGAGTTCTGTGTGGTGTGGTTGTAAGGTATGTGTATTGGGTGTATGCATGTGAGGTATGCACATGAGGTATGTTGTAAATGTAATGTATGTATGTTATATGTGTGAGTGCTCTGTGTGTGAGGAATGTGTAATGTTGTATGTGTGAGGAGTGTTCTGTGCGTGTATAGTGTTGTGTGAGTGATGAGTGCTCTGTGTGTGTGTGTGTATGTGTAGTGCTGTGTGAGTGAGGAGTGCTCTGTGTGTGTGTATTGTTACAGATGTGGTAGGAGTATTGTATATGTGAAGAATGTTCTGTGTGAACAGTGTTGGATATGTGAGGAGTGCTGTGTGAGTGAGGAGTGTTGTGTGTGAAGTATGACTGTATTAGTACAGCTGATGGAGTCTGGATATGGACTGAGGATTACATAACGGTGCCGATGGAGTCTGCATATGGACTGAGGATTACATAACGGTGCTGATGGAGTCTGGATATGGACTGAGGATTGGATGACGGTGCCGATGGAGTCTGGATATGGACTGAGGATTACGTAACGGTGCCGATGGAGTCTGGATATGGACTGAGGATTGGATGACGGTGCCGATGGAGTCTGGATATGGACTGAGGATTACATAACGGTGCTGATGGAGTCTGGATATGGACTGAGGATTACATAACGGTGCTGAATTACATTTTGTGACTGTGACTGTTGCACTGTGCATTTGTCAATAAGTGAACTCATTCTTGTGTAAAAGACAATGGAGTGTTTGAGGTCAAATGTCCAGTGTCTCCAATCAGAAAATGGAAGAAGGCCAGAGGGAACCAAACAGAGCAGAGTGTAGCTAAGGGGAAACAGTGGCTAGAAGACACAGGAGTTCTGAACTGTTCTTCTGTATGTTTGAAGTGAAATCAAAATTGAAGCTACAACCCTGAAAATCAAATGACTGTGAATGTCCTCACAAAGCAGTTAGACCTAACCGAGGTTTGAGATGGGTGAGGGTATCACTACAAACTGTGTGAGCTGGGTCTTGCAAAGCTGGCTTTGGGGTTCCAGGCTGGGGTTGGCAGGGGTAGTGAGGTGACACCTGTGACCAACTGAAGTGTCTCCTGAGTCTGCCCTGAGGTGTGTGCTTCCCAGGTGGGTGATGGCCACTGCACACTCAGGCCACCGTGCTGCTCTGAGTGTTGGGATCTGGCAAGGAGCTGAGAGGCTCAGCCTGGAGACTTCAGGAAAAGCATCCGACATGGACTTCATAGAGCGATGGACTCATGAATGGCACAAAAGGTCCTAAGCTGACAGCGAATGAGCCAGGGTTCGGGGCTGTCTTCCTCCAAGCCTGGCGCAGAAGGTTTACTTTGAGAGGACAGCAGTGCGGCCCATGCGGGAAGAAAGAGCCTCTGCAGACCGCGGCACCCAAGCTCCTGTCATCAGGCTGCTTTCCAACCCCACAGACTCACTGCCAGTACAGAGCGGCTCAGCCGGTGGCGGGGGTGTGGGGAGCATTTGTTCAGGTCCAATCTAGGTGGGCACAGTAGACTCACCAAAGTCAAGTTGTAACTGTGTGCCCCTCCAGATCTCCGAGGACAGACACTGAGAGGAGACTGGGAAGTCCTTCCTATCATCCCCCTGAGGATTGCAGGAGGCCTCCGTCAATCTTCTTCTGTACCCATTTGCATATGGCAAAAGGAGTTGATGAAAGGGTGCACAGTGTAGGTTAGGGTCAGGGTGCACAGTATGGGTTAGGGTCAGGGTCACAGTGTGTGGGTTAGGGTCAGGGTCACAGTGTGTGGGTTAGGGTCAGGGTCACAGTGTGTGGGTTAGGGTCAGGGTCACAGTGTGGGTTAGGGTCAGGGTGCACAGTGTGGGTTAGGGTCAGGGTGCACAGTGTGGGTTAGGGTCAGGGTCACAGTGTGTGGGTTAGGGTCAGGGTCACAGTGTGTGGGTTAGGGTCAGGGTGCACAGTGTGGGTTAGGGTCAGGGTCACAGTGTGGGTTAGGGTCAGGGTGCACAGTGTGGGTTAGGGTCAGGGTCACAGTGTGTGGGTCAGGGTCAGGGTGCACAGTGTGGGTTAGGGTCAGGGTCACAGTGTGGGTTAGGGTCAGGGTGCACAGTGTGTGGGTTAGGGTCAGGGTTACAGTATGGGTTAGGGTCAGGGTGCACAGTGTGTGGGTCAGGGTCACAGTGTGTGGGTTAGGGTCAGGGTCACAGTGTGTGGGTTAGGGTCAGGGTCACAGTGTGTGGGTTAGGGTCAGGGTCACAGTGTGGGTCAGGGTCAGGGTCACAGTGTGTGGGTCAGGGTCACAGTGTGGGTTAGGGTCAGGGTCACAGTGTGTGGGTTAGGGTCAGGGTGCACAGTGTGTGGGTTAGGGTCAGGTGCACAGTGGGTTAGGGTCAGGGTCACAGTGTGTGGGTTAGGGTCAGGGTCACTGTGGGTTAAGGTCAGGGTCACAGTGTGGGTTAGGGTCAGGGTCACAGTGTAGGTTAGGGTCAGGGTCACAGTGTGGGTTAGGGTCAGGGTGCACAGTGTGGGTTAGGGTCAGGGTCACAGTGTGGGTTAGGGTCAGGGTCACAGTGTGGGTTAGGGTCAGGGTCACAGTGTGTGGGTTAGGGTCAGGGTGCACAGTGTGGGTTAGGGTCAGGGTCACAGTGTGGGTTAGGGTCAGGGTGCACAGTGTGGGTTAGGGTCAGGGTCACAGTGTGTGGGTTAGGGTCAGGGTGCACAGTGTGGGTTAGGGTCAGGGTCACAGTGTGGGTTAGGGTCAGGGTGCACAGTGTGGGTTAGGGTCAGGGTCACAGTATGGGTTAGGGTCAGGGTGCACAGTGTGTGGGTCAGGGTCACAGTGTGTGGGTTAGGGTCAGGGTCACAGTGTGTGGGTTAGGGTCAGGGTCACAGTGTGTGGGTTAGGGTCAGGGTCACAGTGTGGGTCAGGGTCAGGGTCACAGTGTGTGGGTCAGGGTCACAGTGTGGGTTAGGGTCAGGGTCACAGTGTGTGGGTTAGGGTCAGGGTCACTGTGGGTTAGGGTCAGGGTCACAGTGTGTGGGTTAGGGTCAGGGTCACAGTGTGGGTTAGGGTCAGGGTCACAGTGTGTGGGTTAGGGTCAGGGTCACAGTGTGGGTTAGGGTCAGGGTGCACAGTGTGTGGAAACGTTCAGGAATTTAAAGGATTACAAAACTAAAGGGGAAAATGTGATAGTAAGACATACATGGTAAATGTGGTGACTACAAGAGTTGGAAGGACATTCTAGAACTGCAAACAAAACAGATCTGAACAAAAAAGGCACTGGGTCCATTAACCAGCAGCACAGCCACCAGAGAAGAAATCAGAACCAGAACCAGGACAAAGGAACCTGCTAAGACCAAAGAGAAAAGAAGCCCGAGGAAAAGAAAGAAAGCCACGTGGGTGTGGGACAGCGTGGAGTGGAAGTAGAATCCCAGAAGTGCGGCGGCCAGGGCAGAGTGGGCAGAGCCACCATGGTGGAAACTGCTCAAATTGGCTGGAAAAAATGCACACCTACAGATAAGAATGCCAAGGGAACCCAAGCAGGACACACACAAAGGAAAACACACGTGAACACACCACAGCCCAGATTATTAAAGGAAAACACGCATGAACACACCACAGCCCAGATTATTAAAGGAAAACACGCGTGAACACACCACAGCCCAGATTATTAAAGACCAGGGAAAGACAGGAAAATCCTAAAGCAGCCAAGAGAAATGATGCACACACACCAGCATACATGCACATACATGGACATCCACATGCATGTACACACAGGCACACATACATGCACACAAGCATGCAGGTACATATGCACACACACTGGCATGTCTGCAATCATATGTACGCACTAACATACACACATGTGTACACAAGCATGCAGATATATGTATATATATATGTATGTATGTATACGCCTGCAAGCACATGTAGACACAAGCACACACATGTACACAAGCATGCAGGCACATATACATATCGACAGGCACACCTACACACATATGCCTGAAGGGAGTGATAGGTGTGCCCAGCCTCGTGCTGTTAAAAACAGAAATGCCTTTTCCCAGTGAGAAGACAGGTCAGAGGAGGAAGTGCTCTCTTGGGTGGGACAGGAACCGGGCTCAAACCCCAGCCAGTGCATCTCCTCAAGATGCTGAGAAGAGGGATGAGGGGAGAAGCGGCCCAGGCAGCCAGCCTGGCTTTGCTCACTGCTCCACTCTCCCCAGAAAGAGGCGGTGCCGTCGATGCTGGGCCACCAGGTAGGCCTTCTGACTCTGCTATGGCGGGATGAAGACATGTGGACCCAAGAGCGTTCTCACCACTGTGTCTTCCTCCTCATGCAGCTTGTGTCCCAGCAGAAAGGTGAGGGGAGCACGACGGGAGAGGGGAGGCTCAGAGGGGCTCAGGGCCAGCTTTCCTCTGGCCCCTCTGTGAGCTGGGACGATGGTGTTGGGGGAAAGTGGCCCCTCCAGACCCGGAAGCCCTCCTGAACACATCCACACACAGGGAAGTTGGCGGAGTCTACACAGTGGAGCAAGATGAAACACCTTGAAGCCAGCAAGTCTAGAGAATGGGAGGGGATGCTCTACCACATGGTGAAGGTGAGGCTGCTCAGCCTGGGCCTCTGATGGCCCCAGAGCACAGTGGTTATATGGTTCGTCCTCTCCAGGCCCAGCCTGAAGAGATGGGGCCAAATGGTCTCAGGGAACTGTGCAGGCAAGCAGGCTGGGCAGACCCAGAACGGGATGGACATCTGCTCTTTCCATGAAAATCGTCTCTGTACCTCCCCTTCCGGCCCCAGCTTAGATGGGGCCTTTGGACCCATGCGGCAGAGGTTCTCACTTGTGTGTCTCTCTCTGGGGACAAGGGCAGCCAGCCTACCTTGCTCTCCTGGGACACTCTGTTCTTAGCACTGCCCCTTCAGAGGCAGGGGTGCCCTCCCTCTGACCTTTCATGACAGCCCTTCCTGTATCCCTCTAAGGCTTGCCCTGCCTGTTACATAGGATGGAGAAGAGAGGCACAGGTTTGTCCTCAAGCTCCATGACTGGCTGGGTGGCCTCCCATCTTGCTGAGCCTCAGTTTTCTGACCTTACAAGTGAGGGTTCAGCTTCTGAGACAGTCTGGGTCAGAAGCAGTGTCACCTTCCAGCACCCCGTGTCTTCTGAGTCAAGGATGAGGCTGAGTCTGTTGTCCCAGTGGCCTCTCCTAAGAGACAGTGGGTGGCAATTTGGGTCCCACTGTTCTGTAAGGTAGGGAGGGGCTATGGCTGGGCAAGAGTTAGTCGTCATTCTGGCCCAGCAGGGACTGGGTGCTGTGACTTTTTGCAAGGCTATTGGTTGCCATTGTCATTAGTGGGAGTCTTCAGAAGCAGCTGGGGACTTATGGCAGGCACACTTGTCACTCAGTCGCTGCCCCAGGGTGGGGGGACTACAGGTCATAGCAGCCTGCGACAAGGACGGGGTAGGCCCTTTGGGGCCATGCAAGTCTGTGCACACAACATTCATTCCCTCTCTGGTAGGAGCCTAAATAGCTGCCTGGCCTGAGCCACTGCTGGCCAGGGTCACCCCCACCCCACCCCACCTTTTGGCTCTGCACAGGTCTTCAGGGTTAACCTGACGGTGGCGCAGCACACGCAGCTGGCCCTCACGCTGGTGCACAGCCTGGGCAGCTGTAACTACCTTCGCTGCGACCTTGCTGCCCGGCTTCTGCTGATGATATGTGAGGAGCCTGGCTTCAGGAAGGAACAGGTGGGTGGGCGTGGCTCCCTTCAGGCTATGTGTACCTGCCTATGTGAGCATGAAACCATATACCTGCATTCACACGTACACAGAGACAGTGAGCCTAGTAGTCTGTGAGCGGGATCCCAGTGTACCCCTGGACAAGCTGTCTTTGCCTAACAGATTCCTGGAGCGCCATCTGCTTCCCCAGGTGGCCTGGGGAAGAGGGCACATCTAACTGCCCTCTAATTTTGCTTGGCCAACTAAATTGAGGAGTCACCCTTAGGGACTGCCGGGCCCCAGCCCCTTGGTGCCCTTAGAGTCAGCACGGCCATCCTCTTGCCTTGTTCACCCCACCTTCCTTAAGACAGAGATACAGCTTGGGAGTTGAGCTGCAAAGTAAGTCCTCCCGGAACTCAGGGGGTCTTGCCCTGTCTGAAGCTGACTTCCATCTTGCAGGTGGCTGAGATCTTGCAAGGCCTTTTCCAGGAACTGCCAAACATCCACGCTACGAGTATCCAGCAGACCATAAGTAAGGCCACCTTGGCTCTGGGGATCCACCACACTCAGGAGGTGGTGGAGGTGGTCTTGTCCCTCTGCCATCCCTCCAATAGGTAGGTCTTCTCTTGGCCAGGCGCCCCAATGTGGGACATCATCCAGGCATGTCGCGGCCCTCCAGCCGGGTCCTTCGTTACTTACTGAACACACTGGGCAGGAATAGGCTCTCGAGGGTTCTGTTTCTTCCTGACTCTGGACTGTGGCCAGTGAGGCTCTGAAGGAGTTTGGGGATTAAATAGGGCTCCAACAGTCCCAGGAGGGCCATCAGCACAGACACCATTTTAGATTCATAGTCACCAGAGGCCAGTTTGTAAGTAGAGCCATAGACCAGTCAGAGGTTGTGAAAGCACGCAGTGACACCCTCCATTCATCCACAGGTGCCCTATGGTCCAGAGTCCCAGTGAGTTCTGTTTCCAGCTGCCACACGGGACATCACTGGGTCCTCCAAGCAGCACTGCATTGGCAATAAAACGTTACTAATTCAGAACATGGTTGTAGGCTGGCATCAGCAGCATAGCCATAAGTCTGTCAGGATCTCGTAAGCTTATCAGTCCTTAGGTGGCCAGCCATGTTGTAAGCACCTCATGAATACACATATATAGCCGACAATGTGGCAGGTGGCAAGGACAGTGACAGATCTCAGAGCACACGTGCAACTTGGGATTCACGAGCTCTGCCTGGAGTGGTTCCTGGCTCTGTTGGCCTTCCTCTTCTCTTCAGACCATCTGAGGGGCTTGCTCCTGCCTCCCAAGAGGTGGAGAGCAGCTGTTTGCTCAGGGTCCTGGAGAGAGGCTGCAAGGCTGGGGCTCGTACGATGCCTAATGAGGCAGCATAGGACACGGACCTCAGGGCCCCTTGCCTGCGGCTCCCAAGGGGCTCACTTTCTCACATCCTGCTAACGGCCAGCATTCGTGGGAGGCCTCTTCTCTGCAGGGGTGTTCCCAGTGGTGGCATAGGTCCTGTCTCATCAGGTGGATCCTACTGCTGTGGAAGGCTCTGGCCACCAACTACCATCTATCTCGTGATGTCATAATTCTGCTCTATGTAAAGTTGAAATTGCGGCCACGTAGGAGGCTCATCCAGTCCACGTATCAGACCCGTCTTGTCTCCCTGATGGTGAGTAGCACCCTTTGCCTTGCCACCAGCATGGTCTCCTTAGTGACAGTAGCATTATCCAGAGCTTCCATTGGATTCCCACGAGGACACCGTGCTGCCTCCAAGGGTCCCACCGACAGGCCTTTGCCAAGGTTTGTGGTCATTTGTGAAGGTGGCCAACGCGTTTTACCTGCTCATGAATCTCCCACCCTGCGAGCATAGCCCTGCTGTGTGTCTGAGGCATGGACTGATGGACCAGCCAGCTGGCTGCAGACCCCTGCTGCTATGGGCACTTGTTTCTCCATGGGGATGTCCCATCAGAGACCATAACAGAGCTAAAAATCACGTGCTCTCAGCAAGTGGTTTCTAGACACATTGGGAAGTAGGACAAAGTCTTCACTGCCTGACAAACTCAGAGACCGTGCAGTGACCGTGCACCGGGTCATGGTGGGAACAAGAGTAGTGAAGAGAGATGGGGGCGTGATGAGAAGCCTCCAGAAGGGTCCAGGGAAGGCAGAGGCATCCCTGAGCAGAAAGCAGGGAGGGGGGGGTAAAGACTGCCAGCACTGGCCGGGAGTTGAGGCTAGCACCCGGACTTCTCCCAAGCTTTGGAGTGACACATTTATCTCTGCCCCTTGAAAGGAGATCTTTCAGTTCAGGGGGACCACGTAGGGCCATGGATGTGGTGCCCTATGACTGGCTAGGAGATAGGGAGTCAGGGGACTCTATGGGCAAACACAGTCCAAACCCAAAGAAATAGGGCTGGATGTGGCTAGCCACCGGGAACTCAGGGCTAGGGACAAAAGACAATGGAACCAGGAGAGGTCCTCATCAAGGAGGGTCTGAGAAGGACCTCCCAGCAGGATGGGCACTTGGAGGGATCTGGCTCATCAGAAGGTGGAGCCAAGGCAAGAAAAGCACAATCAGTGGTGTGGAAGTCAGGCGTTCCTGGGGCCTGACCAAAGCCAGGAAGTCAGGGCCCAGCCCAGAGACTGCAATGCATCCTGGTTCATCCTCAGAAATATACCACAGGGATCTTCAGGGATTTATCCAAGGGGTCTCCATGGTGAGCTCCACCAGGCTGGATGAAGGCAGTAAGGCCTGGACTAGAGTGGCTTTGTAGCCGCTGTCCCCACTCTTGTGCTCAGGGGTCCCCTCCGGGCTCTGCTGTCGCCCACTGCAGGCACTGGGCACCATTTATGAGCTCCTCTACATCCCGGAGTACAGGGACACCATCCGCTGGGCTTTCGCAGGCATCCTTCTGGGCCTCCTCACAGAGCTCTACTACCTGCTGGAGGTGGGCCTGGTGCAGGGCATCTCTGACTACCAGGAGGACAATCTAGCTTCGAAGCCCCTCGGGCCCTGCAGGTGAGCCAAGCTGGTTGCTGTCCCTTCTTGTACCCACTGAACCATGCTGACTCTGGAGCCCAAGGAAGAAAGGATCTTGGGTGAAGGTGGGGGAGGGGTGGGATAGAGCACCCAACCTGGCCATCTCTGAGCCTCCTGAGCAAGCACAGCCTGGTAGGTGGCACATGGCTTGTTTCTCTCTGCCCAGGACCTGCCTGGAAGCACTCAAGGGTCTCTTTTGGACCAACCAGTACTGGGAAGTGTTTGCCGACATCAAGCTGATTCAGGGCTGGAAGCTCTTAGAGAACTTGGAAACCTTCCCAAAGGGAGTGACCCTTTTGGCCAGGTGAGCCCTCAGCTCAGATACCCTCTGCTTGGGAGGAACTGGAGCGGTTAGCAGTCCAGCCTCCCTGCTCGGGACCCTGCACCCCAAGCTCAGCAGTCTGGCCAGTGCCGAGGCCTGGCTGGAGCCCTCGGGGCTTTGTGTGCCCTTGCATGTGATAGGGCCATGGTTTACTATGACTGCGAGGTCAAGGCTGTCTTGGGGCAGGCGCACATCTACCTGAAGAGCACTGAAGAGCGAGACAACATCGTGGGCATCTGCATCATCACTGAGGTCAGCCTTTCCAGACTCCCTGTGGACTTCCCTTCCAGGTCTCTGAAAAAACAAGTAAACATGAACGCATGTGTCAGGTGTGCTAACTGTTGGAAGTGCTTCTTTAGGTCTAACTCATTACTGTGGTATGGGGTAGACTGATTCCTGGGCAGCGTGGTTAACAGGTGGGCTGATGGTGCCGACCCCTGCCCAGTTTCTCAACAGCCCAGATGTCTCCCAGTACGTCTCTCCGAAGGCCATGGAGAAATCCCTGAACCTGGGCCTTTCCAACCGCAACCAAACAGTGCGGGCTATGAGCCTGAAGGGGCTAGGCAGCACCCTGATTCACCCTAAGAAGGTGAGGGGCAGGAGCTTGAGAGAGGTGCCCTCTGCCATCCCAGGATGGTTATGGGGAGGACTGGACACAAGGGAAGTGTCCTGAAGGCTATATCCTTGAAGGGGTGGTGGAGAGAGACCTGGTTGGCCCTGCTGAATTGCTTCAGATGAAGTTCTAATGGGCCCTTTGTCTCCTCCTAGATAGGAGTCCCCCATTGATAACCTCCCTTTTGAGCCCCCCAGAGAAGGAATATTCTGACATGGCCCTCATGACAGGGCTGGAATGCAGCTGCAAATTTGGCCTATGCCAGATACATGGTGTAGTTTTGTCCGTTTTTCTGTCCAACCTGGGGAGGTGGGGAGTGGACCTGGGAACAGTCAGCTTCAGCACGCAGACCTCCTCCCCATCGGCACTGACTCAGAGACGGGCAGATCCCTTTGAGAAGGCCAGGAGCCCTAGTACCTGCCTGGAGCTATGAGCTGCCTCACTGGGGCAGCTGGCAGAAACTGGTCAAAGGCCTCACTGGAGGGTGGTGGCCTCCCTGCAGGTAACTGTGCTGAAAAGCAAGTTGGTGGAGCTATTAGATAACTTCCTACAGCCTGAGATCGAGGACCCTGTGGGCCTGATGGAGATCATAGGCCACCTCCTGCAGCATCTGGATGTCCATGGCACTGGTACTGTCAGCTTCAAGATTGCTGAGCACCTTCTCAGCCTGTTCACAGACGTGAGTGGGCGAGGGGTGGGTGAGTGAAGTGGGCAGGGCAGGGCAGGGCAGGGCAGGGGTGCAGACAGCAGTCAGGAGCCAGTGTCACGCAACACCTGCTGTCTGCGCCATCCCCAGGCCCCACTGAGAATACAAACTCTGTAGTCTAGTGTAGATGAAGTCTGTGATGGCACTGAGTCTTGTTCCCTGGACATCAGAACCAATGGTTCCATTTGAAAGCAACATGAACTTCTCCTGTGCTAGAATTAGGGCCAAGTGATTTCTGGGGGTTGAGGTTGGGAATGAGGAAGGCTTGAACTTGGCATGGACAGTCCCAGGAACACCACCACAAATGTGTCCCCGATATGGGCTAGAACCAGGGAGATGGGAGCTAGGATGAGCCCCAGCTGGGATATGTAGGAAGCCAGTGGCCACAGCACATCTGAAATTGAGGAGGAGGCAATGGAGGCAGTTTGGGGCAGAGGATGGCTTTGCCTTTCGTGGACAGGTGTTAGTAGAAGGAGCAATGCTGGAATTAACAGTCACTCCCTTAGGTGCTGGGTTCTGCTCCCACCTCAAGCCAAGGACAAAGGCACTGTTGTTAGTCACTGTTTACAGAGGTGAAACAGTACAAGGCAGGAACCTCACCCAAGGTCATGGAGCTAGAATGTCACAGACTCAATAGTCAGGTCTTCCTAGAGGTGGAGGTAGATTGCTGTCACCCCAGGGACGTGCAGAGCAACCCAGAGGTGAGAAACCAGGGATAATGAATAAATTCGAGAAGGCTGCCAAAGGACTTAGGGGATCATGAGTGGAGCTGAGGAGACGGAGAACACTAGAGGGCCACGTGTCTTAAAGTTTCTCCTGCTGTGAAGAGACACCATGACCACAGCAACTCTTATAAGGAAAATGTTGGGCCCCAGCCCCACGGGGTCTCTGTGAGTTGCTGGTCAGTCTACAAGTGCAACTTGTTTTCCAGTCCAAGTGCTTCCTGCTTTCTAGTACTGGCTTACTGCCCCGGCCTTGACCCTCTGACATCAACATTCAGCAGGAGGAAAGCATGCTCTCTTCTACCTGGGGTTTTTCCACTGTGCTGTAAACCTGTATATAAAGCTCCTCCCTCCTACAAGAGAGAGACCTCTTAGCACTTGCAATCAAGACACTCTCTCTCTCTCTCTCTCTCTCTCTCTCTCTCTCTCTCTCTCTCTCTCTCTCTCCTGGCAATAAAGGCAACACATGCATTCTCTTAGTACAAACAGCTGGACGTCCTGTCTCTCTTTTCCTGATGCCTTGGAGTTGCTTGTGGCACTGGCGCCGCAGGAAAACATTTAATTGAGGGGCTCGCTTATAGTTTCAGAGGTTCAGTCCTTTCTCATCATGGTGGGGAGCATGATGAGATGCTGGAGGAGCAGCTGAGAGTACATTTTGCAGGCAACAGGAAGCTGACTGACTGTTACACTGATGGAAGCTTGAGCAAAAGAGACCTCAAAGCCCACCCCCACAGTGACACACTTCCTCCAATAAGGCCACGCCTCTTAATAGTGCCATTCCCTTTGGGGAGCATTTTCTTTCAAACCACCACACTGTGGGACAGAAGACATCAACAGAGTCAGGGTCTGGGTGGATTGTCCCTAGGCTGAGCAGGGCCAAAGTGAAGCAACCAGAAGCCATGGGAAAAGGCTGGCCTGTCTTGTGCCTGAGAATCCCATCTCCCCCAGGAAAGAGCAAAGGTGCGAGAACATGCCATCTTCCTGTTTGGAGACATCATCCACTATGGTGGCAAGAAGTTTCGGCAGAACCTCAAGACTCTGGCTTTCCAGGCTGCAGTGCCCCTGCTCTTCCATATGGCTGACCCCTGCCCAGAAGTGGCCATGGTGAGTGTGCTCCAGCTCGGCTGGGCCAGTTAGGAGAGCAAGACCAAAGGAGGACCCGGGTGGTGGACTTGGAGGCCTCAGCTCTCACAAGTGGCTAGTGCTCTGGAGAGCCTAGCCAGAGAAAAGGAGTGAGCTCCATCCTGGTGGCATTTCCTCAGCCACCTGCATCAGACTTCACCCTTCCATGCACCCGTCACTCCGGGCCCTTGTGCAGCCTCTTCTGGATGAAGACCTCCCTCTAAAATCAGAGAGTCTGGCATTCAGGATCTTACTACCTCTTCCTCCCCTCCCCAGCCAGTGGTGTACCCTACCTGCCTAGTTCCATGACCCCCCTCATACCCCGCCGCTGGAGGAACCTTGTACAACTCTCCCTGGGGTGACCCTGAAACACTTAGCCATGCCATGTCAAGGGCCTTGGGTTTTATAGGCCATTCTCTAACTTAGCTTATCCTTGGGGCTAGCCTGGCCTCTATTTACTATCCACAGACCAAACCTGGCTTCTGCTGGCCTTGAGAACAAGCTGTTCCAGGCTTCTGAGAATAAGGCCTCGTTTAACAAACCCGGCCCAGACCCATATCCACTGTCAGAAGTCAGAGCTCTTCGGAAACTTAGAATAAGTCCCCACCCTCTGAGGCTGGTACTCTGAGATGATTCCTCAGAAGGAAGCCTGGGTTGCCTTTCTGGAAACTCAGTGTTAATTGTAGCAGGGTACCCTGGTCTTGGGGAGTGGGTCACCCTTTCCTGTGGTGATGCATTCCCTTGTAGTGTCCTGCATGGCCCGGGACCCCAGAGGCCCAACGATGGCACTGCTACAGAAACCTCTACTCGGGGTCTGGCTGGGATGAGTGGTGCTGATGGGTGGAAGCAGAGGGGGTCTGTTCTCCCCTTACAGAAGGCCAAGCTCACTTTCCTGCGCTGTGCCATTTTGCTAAAATGGGAGTTTCAGAAGGAGCTGTTCAGCAAGCTCGCATGGGGCCAAGGGCTGGGCGCTGCAAATGACATTTTTGTCTATATGGTAAGGTGTGAGCACATTTCAGGAGGAGGGCTCGGGGCCAGAGAGGTGGTGGCTCTTCAGTCACCCCAGACTGCTCTGAGGGTGGGGTGTGGGGATGGTGGAGGCAGTCCTGGGGGTGTTTAAGTACTGAGGCTCTGAAGGGAAGCATTTTCCTTGCATAATGGAGCTCGGGTTCTCTGAAGTGGGCTGTCCAGGAAGGTTGACAGAGTCTCCACAACGTGCCTAGAGTGTGTCCAAGGCCCCCTTAGTAGGCCTCTGAGGACAGAGTGCCCACTGATGTTCCAGGGAAGATTGAAGGCAGATGCAGCTGAGGCTGAGTCCAGACGTTTCCGGGCCCAGCTGTGGAAGGCCAGTAGCAAATGCCACCCTTGCCACCAGCAGCCACTTTAATCTCTGGCCTCAGGTTCTCCTGCCTTACTGGGTCCAGGCAGTCAGGGCGTCACACGGGCTATTGAACAGGATCAAAGTCACACAGGCAAGGCAGGACAGGCCTGTCTTCCGTCTTCAGACCTCACTGGCACAGGACTAGAACTATGGCTGTGCCAATCTGCAGGTGATGTTTGGGCAGGGTGAAGGCTCTGAGCTCCTGGCCTGCTCACCCTCCCATGCAGAGGCACACGTGTGCCTTGATAACAGTGACAATGCAAGCATGGCCCTCGAAACACCAGGTTTGCAGCCTTCAGCTGCTTCATCATGGTCCTGATCGGGTGCCATCAGGGCTCAAAGTTTAAAGTTTAAAGAATAAAGCACAATAGGGAGGACAGGGAACAGGGAATTTAGGAATGGAGAGGCCATTGAAGGACGCAGAGCAGCAGAGCCCAAATATGATGCAGGCACTTGTGCCATGCCTGAAACGTGTGATAGCCACACCCCAAGCAGAGAAGCAGCAGGGGTACAGAAGTTTCCAGTGGTGAGACTGCCTCTCCCTCTCCATGGCGTGGGCCTTGTAGGAGACCTTGGTGGCTTGGGACTATAGGATGTATGCCTTTGGTTTGTGGTGAGATGACAGCCAGGCAGGGATGGGCAGAGGCATGATGGGTGGTCTCCAGAGTGACGCTGGCAAGGGTCACAAATACGGGTGCTCCCGGATCCTTGGCATGGACTCCCCTCGTTGGTCAAATGAAGGGACCAGGCCTTCACCACCCACTACCCCCTACATCTCCCATGGGACTGTGGTGTCTGCCCTAGACACTGGAAGAGGAGTTCAGTGTTGGGGGGCCTCAGGAAAGTCATGTCCCTAAAGTGAGATGCCACACAGACCCTCAGTGTGGCCACAGGTCCTCTATTGTCTCCTCAGATAGAAAGCAACTTTGGTAACTACCAGCAGTTTCTCAGTCAGGCCTTGTTGTACCTGGACAGCCCCCACAAGACCCTGAAGCTGGCAGCCATGAGGTTCATTGGTAGGTACTGGCTCAGCGGCCTCAACCCCACCCCTGTGTCCCATTGCCTGGCCTGCCACAGTGGATGATCAGGGTCACATGTCCTGGGTCTACTGCAGGGCAGTGCTCTATGTCAGTGAGGGGGTGGGATGCCCCTGCTGGCCAGTGCTCTCAGTGTGCAAAGGTTGCCATTGCCGCTGCCTCCTTGACTGCCTCAGGGGGACTGCTTCAGGACTACTTCAATGACCTCTGCTTCTACTTGACAAAGGACGATGTGGCCATCCTAAAGAACTGTGAGTGAGTGGAGCCTTTGCACCCTCAGGTGGCTGAGGCCTGCCTTCCCAGACACCGAGGGAGCCTTCTGGTGGGAGACAGCCCCTTCTGGGGGTCAGGAATGGGGCCCACCTTCCTCTCCTGATCGTGGGTACACTGGGCCTCTCAGCTCCACAGCAAGTCCCTGATGGGACCTGTGGCCTCTCCTGCAGACCTGGAGGCCCTCAGTCATGACACAGACTCCAGGACCCAGAAGTTCTACCTGGACTATTGGAATGATGTCGTGGAGCTGTCCCACTACGTGATGAGCTGAGCCTGCACTTGTCCTTATTTTTGTCTTTGTTGAGTCCTATCTTTATTAAATGCCACAGACGTGTGCAACAGGCCGGGCCAGCACTCCCCTTAAACTCAACTCCACAGGCTGTGGGGCGAGAAGGGTACCTGACTCAAAGCTCCAGAAGTTACCACAGTGTTCCACTAGGCAGCAAGAGCTGGAGACTTCAGAACAGGTGTTGCTATACCCAAGCAAGAGCCTAAGAGCCCAGAAGCCACCCTCAGCAGCTCCTTCCCCAACCCTGCTGTCCCACACGCCCATTCCGCCCATTGCCTGCCCTATTCATCTGCCTGTGTGTATGCATCCAGCCCCCAGGGAGGTCTTGCCTGCCCCCGGGGAGGTCTTACGTAAGCCTTCTTAGTTGCCTACCTCTTTCTTGGCCACTGAACCTCTCACACTTGCCCAGGATCTTTGCTTAGCAAACACCCAGACTTTGGGGGACTTACAGCTTTTGGGGGACACCCTTCCCACATTAAGCTTGGCTGCTTCTCTGTGTTGGGTGGTTCTACCATGGGTACCCATTCTCTCTAGCAAAGTCACCATCCTCAAGCCCATCCAGGTCCTTCAGCCATGCCCAGTGCCCTTGCCGACCACAGTGGCGTTAGGATACCATGGAGGCTACCAGGGTAGACTAAGGATATTCCTGGATCATAGCCACCAGACGGTGATGGAAATCAAATGTAGATACAGTCAGTGCCTTGGATATAGCCTCCTAAGAGATGCTCAGATGTTTTGTGACTATTCAGGGTGGAGGTGCTGGGTCTTATCAGGTGCCCAGAAACCACTAGGCACTCCCACCTGCCAGCCATGTCCTCAAAGGGGATGCAGCAGGATTGAGGAGGAATAAGAAGCAGGACGGAGCTGAAGAGACTCCGGATGCCCTCCAGGACCAGAATTTGCAAGTCAGTCCTAAGTTCGGAGAAAGCCCATCCAGCTCCTGACCCTTGCTAGAAGGTGAAGGCCAGGGCTACATCTTTATCTTCAATAGTGGACATCAAAATCTCAGTGTGGCTGGAACAGAGTGACCCCACAAACAACACTCAGAAGAAGCAGCCAGAGCAGGAAAAAGAAGCTGGAGGCTGGGTGACCATGGGAGCTGAGTGCAGAGAGAGCATGAGAAAGACAGACAACGGTCTGGGATGGCCATGAGAGGCTGGGCTGGGGAAGGGGAAGACCACGCCCACCCAGAGTACTAGGCATGAGTTGGGAGGGGTCCCCAGCTTTTACAGTGCATGTGATAGATGCTCCCACACGACAGCAATATGCCTCCATCTTGGGCACATTACAAACTGTATTGTATGTGTTGGTGGAAAATCCTAAAGACTTAAAACAGTTAAGACCTCCAAACACTAAGCTGATACACGGGCGGAGAGGAAGGGCGCTGGGAAGCCCACGGTCACTATGGACTGATGAGAACATGGGCTGGGTTCAGAAGACAGGCCCTGGCTCCCACAGGAATGGAACTGAACCCAGGCTAAACTAGGTCAGGACTCCAAGGGGCTCCCAGGACAGCAGCACCCACCCATCCCACGAGGCAGGGGCAGAGTTGCCCTCCAGTAAGGTGTTCCCACCATGTGTCCTCTTAACGCAGGTGACTGGGCTAAAGCACAAATGGACCCTGACAGATGCTCAGAGACAGAGGCCTTGCCAGGGGAGCTGCAAGAAAGGGCTCAGCAGATTGCACTTCCCAGGAACTTCAGGCAGAGCAGTCAAAACACCCATACGTGAAACATTAGATCAGGACCAAAGTTAGCACACCAGGAAGGGATAAAGAGAATGAGATGAAATTCTGAGAAATTCTCCAAAACAGAAGAAATTCATAATGTTTTTTTAATTACATATGTATACAGTATTCTGTCTTCAGGCCAGAAGAGGGCACCAGATCTCATTATAGATGGCTGTGAGCCACCATGTGGGTGCTGGGAGTTGAACCTGGGTCTTCTGGAAGAACAGCCTGACCTCTGAGCCATCTCTGCAGCCCAAAATGCCTAATCTCAAGAGAGCAGTATATACCATGTAACAGAAAACAATGTAAAGAAGTCAAAGTCTTGAAAAGAGCTAGAAAGGAGCCATTCCCACTCTCAGGAATAACAGCTTTTGAGCAGTGGTGATGTCACTGAGAGAGTACAGTGACATTTCTTAACTGATGCCCAGGAGTGTAAACTCAAGCTAATGTCCAGGCAGAAAGGCAAAAGCAATGCAGACAGGGAGAATTACCTGAGTGTCCCTTTAGGAAGAGATTGATCAACCCTCCACATGCAGAACACCTAACTGGCCTCTTCTCCAGAAACTCTACACAAAAACCAGCACCAGGCTAAGATGGGCTGCATGAAGAAGAGTTTCCAAGGCAGCAGGAGTCGGCAGAGAGGATCGCTGTCACCTGGGGGTAAAAAAGGAATGTGGGGGGTGAACTTCAGAAGCACAAAATATCCTAGCACGCAGAAGGCTGAGGCAGGAGGGTCACACGTTTCAGGCAGCCTGAGCTACACAGCTTCACTGAAATTAAAAGGAAACAACAAAAACAAAACAAAGGTGACTCATTGACTTGTCGTGGGAGGCAGGACCACAACTGGCTGTATATTCGCCGACAGACACATGGAAGAAGTGAAGCCACTGAGTGAAAGGAGACCATACGCTGAGGGCCTGTTGTGCTGGCTGTGGGTACAGGGTGGCTGGCTGGCTGGCTGCGGTACACTCCCGCCACCCTGCCTTTCCTGCCGCAGTGGACTGTGTCTCCGGACTGTGACACACTAATCCCCTCCTTCCTCAATCTGCTTTTGTCGAAGTGAAGAGAGGAGTAACTGGTACAGGTGACTCAGAGAACACAGGGACAGGCCAGGACACGAAGCAGCCCCAGCAGAGAAACGGCCAAGGGCAGGGCGGGCAGTTCTCAGGCTGGGATGGGAGACTCGGGCGCTTGAATACAGGGAAAGAAGCAGGACTCTGGGAGTAATGAGGAGAGATGTGCCCAGAACAGGGCCCCAAATCCTTCCAGGCTTATTTGGCAGGTCACACAGCTGATGCCTGGTGCGAGCAGTGGTGCACCTCGGGGGACAGCTGGGGTACGGCCCGATGCCGTGTGACCCGATGGAGACCGCGAGGTGTGGTTGGCCAGCAAGGTCGCACAGCAGGCCACAGCAGGCCAGCCACAGCAGGCCACAGCAGGCCACAGCAGACCAGCCACAGCAGGCCACAGCAGGCCACAGCAGGCCAGCCACAGCAGGCCACAGCAGGCCACAGCAGGCCACAGCAGGCCACAGCAGGCCTGTGTGAGGACCTGAGGGCGCTGGTGAGACTGTGCTGGAGGTAACTAGAGAAAGCACGGGAATGCATGCACGGAGGACTGGGAGGCCGCGAAGAGGACCAGGTCTGACAGGATGAAGCGTCTCTCCCGCTAGATGCTTCGTGTTTCACATTGACACCTAGGGACCCAGGGTGGCGGGCAGCTGGGAACCCGCACAGCCACAGACTGCTCTGGACCGGTCTCACTTGGCCTTTGGCTTAGTCATCGCGTGCAGACAGAAAGAGCTTCGGGAAGAGCCACCTGCCTGTGGTCCATGGGGTAGAGATGGCTCCTATAGGGAGTGAATGCCCTCTGCCGTGTGTGTGCTTCTGTCCAACGCTCCAGTCTTGAGCAGTACCAACACGGAAGATCAGACTGCAGAGGCAGGCGTGGAGACTGAGAGGGTAGGCGGGGCTTTTGCCTTTCTGTTTTCTCTGTTCCCTTGGCACCTGACCTTGGAGACAGCCAGTTGCACAGACGCCCCGTAGAACCAAGAATCTCAAGCCCCCATTTGGAAAGCCAGTTTTGCAACCCAAAATTAAATGGCCTATATAGAGCCCAGGCTTTTTGACTGCAGGGGAAGAACACGGGACAGACACCGGACAAGACGGTCCTGAGGGTGAATTTTCAATGACTTGGAGCCACCATTGCTGCCGTGCTCTGAGGAGTAATGCAGTGAACAGAAACTGAGGAGAACGCAGCAAAACAGCAGACAGGAACCAGGGGGCGGAGGACAGACAGAAGAACCAGGGGACAGAGGGACAGACAGAAGAACCAGGGGACAGAAGGACAGACAGAAGAACCAGGGGACAGAGGGACAGACAGAAGAACCAGGGGACAGAGGGACAGATAGAAGAACCAGGGGACAGAGGGACAGACAGAAGAACCAGGGGGCAGAGGGACAGAGGACAGACAGAAGAATCAAGCAGAAAAACAAGACAGAAAACAAGAACCAAACAGAGAAACAGGACAGAGAAGAGAGAAAACAATCAGACAGGACAGAGAAAAGAATCCAATGGAAAGACAAGGCAGAGAGGAAACAGAAGAGCAAAGAGACAGGACAGAAACCTGCCTAAGGCAGCAGAGTTGATCGCAAACTGATAGGTAGAGCCAACTGGAAAGCCCAGGGGAGCCTCACCTGTAGTCACCTGAGCTTAGACAAACGGGCAGAGGCAGCATAGTGTGGCCCGGAAGCGCTCATCTTCCTCCTCCACACGAAAATCACCAAACACCCACACGGTGGCTCGCAAACCTTTACCTTTACTTCTAGGGAATCCAGTGCCATATTCTGAATTCTGCAAGCTCTGCACCCTCGATACACAGACATATGTGCAAACAAAACATCCACATGCATAAACTAAAAAACGTCATTTTTCAAATTTAAAACAAGTTATCAGACTAGCTGTGTAGAGGTCAGGGCTAATACCTGTAATCCTAGCACTAAAGCATCTGAGCTGGGAGGAGGGTGATGTGAGGTCAGCCTGGGTTACGTGCTGTGTTCCAGGCCAACCTAGACTAAAGAATTAGATGCTGTTTCAAAACCAAAACCACTGGAAAGGACATTAGAGTGTTCAAAACTAAAAACTCCCAGAAGATAATAGGAAAAAGGACAGAATGACCTTGAATTTAGCAATGAGTCCCTAGGTCAACACACACACACACACACACACACAAAATTCCAGCCCTCCCCAAAAGTTAAAGCTCTTCACAGAACATTCTGCTCTATAAAAGACGTTGCATTTGGAATGAAGACGTTGGCCCCAGGCTGG